TAAATGAGCATTGACGAACCAACGTGCTCCTCTTTAACCCATAAACAGAAACGAACTAACAAACGTTCCAACAAGCAGTCTTTGAACTGAAAAATACAACGTATTATTCGTGTAGGCCCTACGTGACATTGCAATCCGGGTTGACTTCAGGCTTTTGCTTCTTCATTTTTCACGAAATAGGTAGATCTACATGCATTTATGTTTCAAAGTACAAAATGTATTAATCTATAATTAACACAAACAAATAAACAGAGAAAACAATTGGCGCTCATATGACCTTATTATGCAGTAGCGAGCTCCATAAAAACTCTACTAAAACTAAAACTAGAGAAAATAAAAACAAAGGCAAAACCCAGCAACATACCTTGAACTGGAAGAAGTACTTGACTCGCATGATCTTGCACGTCTCTAAGCCGGAGTCTGCCAGGTACGGGGGCACCAGGAGTTTGATCTCATGCCAGCGGCGGCCAGTCCGGAAGCCGGTGTCGAAGACGTCATCATGGGTGTTCAGGTATTGCCTGGAATCAGGTGGGTGGTTGAACGTTTAATACATGGAGCCTTTTGCAGAAGGGATCGGGTCGGGTCTGGTCGGGTCGGGTCAGGTAGGGGGCGATCGCCCCACTCGTCGCCCGAAAACAAACGCGTTTGTTGTTGAGGCTACGAGTCGGGCGAGATCGGCTTGTGCCACGATAGCCTCTTTGCGCCCTCAATCTGGCAAGCAAACCGCCCCGACCAGACCCGATCCTCCAATGGACACTCCGTATTAGCTAGATCTAGTTGATTCTTCTTCCAACAATACGAGTGTTTTTGTTTTAGTAAACGTTTTTACCACACTTCAACAGAGTTAGGGTACATTATAAGTGTCGATCGAAAACGTCATCATGGGTGATCAAGTATTGCCTGGAACCAGGTGAGTGGTTGAAGGTTTCAACTAGTTTGATTTTTCTCCCAACAACAAAATGGTCGCTTTTAAGCACAAGGGGGCAGTCCTGAAAAATACTGTTTTGAGATAACCGAAAGTAAAGTTTTTGCCCCTTGTTCATTTTCTTTAAAAGACAAAGGATAGTTTTCTCTTTAATCAAACAAATATACACACCAATAAAACCAAACTTCTCTTGTAGGTAGAGCAATGCCCACTTTTGGTGTACGACAAGATTTCTAGAATTCCCCGAAATTTGGCTATATGCGCTTCACAATCTATACTATTACCCCAGCAGACCTGAGAGAATTCTGGAACAACGTCAACTTCCTAGGAAGCAGCCATTTATAGGCGCCAAACACTGACATACTGACAAGATCTTTCGCTGGCTATGGCCGGGTACCCATTCCCGCCTAGGTGAAGTGAGGAAAATTGGTGTAAAGTGCCGTTCCCAAGGACTCAAAGTCGGGCCCGCAGCTCGAACCTCCGAACCAGTAACAATACGCGTGTTTTTATTTCAGTGGGCGTTTTTACCGCACTTGCAACACAGTTAAGGTATATTATAAGTGCCGAAGGTTAGAGTTGTTATAAGAAAGTAATAACTTACGGTGTTTTATGTTTTGTTTGGACCTTGTGCTTTCTTAATGTTGTTGATGTTGTTGCTGTTGTTATTGTTGATGTTGCTGTTGTTGATGTTGCTGCTGTTGTTGTTGTTGTTGCTGCTGC